AAATCCTTTCGACGACGACGACGAAGAAATTAATCCTTTCGCTGCCAGTCTCTTTATTTTATTTGGTGATGTTTGAATGAGTGTTGAATTTTGAAGTTCAATTGTGATAGCGCTGTTTGGTATTTGTTTTAGTTTTTTTAATTAGGGATTTTCTGAAAATTTTACTAGTGGAATATTTGTTGACTTATATATTTTCTGGAGATTTTGACTTTCATCTGAAACTTTGGTTGAATTCGGTTCTTGAAGGACATTTACTTGGTTGTTGCAGTTTATATGATTATTGACAAGGGCAGAGTTAGTAAATTTATTTTGGGTGTTAAATTTAAAGAAAAATTATTTTTGGGTGTCATATTAAAAACTTATATAAATAAAATTTTAAGTGAATAAAATAAATAATTTGTGTCAGTTTATGTTTAAGAATACTAATATTCTTTTAAAAAATATGCTAATTTTATTTTTTTTAAATATTTTTATTAAATTTATAAAGATTTTTTCCCCAAAAATATTTGGGTGTCATTCGCCGCTCATAGTATGCTGGCTCCGCCAGTGATCATTGATGTGAATTTGTGTTTATTTTTTATGAGTACCCGTTAATACAGTAAAAAGTTCATTTAAGTTTGTTCAATTACTGAATTTATTATCAAATTGTTAAAAAGAAAAAAAAATCATTTTCCTGGTGCTGAAGATCACTTTGTAGTTTGTACTATTATATAATTAATTCTGAGAAAAGTGATATCAATAACGTTTTCTTCATGTTTTATTTAATCATGTCTATGGTACTCAGAGAGGAATGATTTATTTTCTTCAGTATCAATTCTCTCGTTCATCTAATTGTGATGTTTGTACCTTTTAATCCATATATTCTGTACATTCCTGCTATAAGCAGAAGGGGAATTCGCGTGGTTTTCATTTTTGCACTTAGATAAACCTTTGTCCATGAAATGCAGATTATGTCAAATTACCACACTTTATAACTCGATTTATCTGTCAATAAGTTTGTGTTTAGATGCTAACCAGCTTCCTTCTCTTTTAATATGATTCCTTTTTTTAAAAATTTCTACCAGGATACAGCAGTGAGAGGGAAGGCACCTGGCCAGTCTAAATTTGGTGGAGGTCTATTTTCATCGGTAAACTGAATCATTGTGACAGTTTCAAATGAACATTTAATTCAAAACTTATTGTTGAAGTAAGAATGAGTGCAGTTATAGGACATATGTCTCGTGAGGTATCAGGTGAAAGGTGTGGAAATTTTCATATGGCTTTGGTTGTTTTCCGTTTCGTTTCTTGGAGATTAGAGAGTGCGCCTCTGTTTTGGTAGGCTAGGTTGTTTCTCTTAGACGTAGATACCAATTCAATGTAAAACCATAACTTGAGGTGATACCGTGCTAAAGTACCCTTTTATATCCCTGGGATGCTGAAATTCCATGTCTATTAGTGAAAGTAAAAATGGTAGTCATAACCTTGGGCCTGAATGGTCGATATATACTGATAGGTTTAAGAGTGAACTTTCATTTGACCAAGGATTAGGATGATTAATCCTGAAAATATAGGTTCCTTGCAATATTTGTTGTGATTTGGTCATATCTAGTATTTTTTTTAATGTTGCTCCTGAATAACCGTATGCTGGAATAGTTGCCTATCTTGCTTGCTTCTTGAATACATATTGTCAATAAATTTTCAGAGTACTCCAAGTGTTCCACCTGCCTCAAACTCAAGACTTTCACCACTACCTCCGGAACCTGCCGGTTTCAGTTATGACCGTGAGGCAGCAATTGATATTCCTCTTGATACAGTTTTACGGGGATCACGTAATCAGGTTGGTAAAGACATGTCTCTAAATTTCATTTATGTACTTTGGTTAAGCCTTGAATCTCACTTTTCCTGGTTTATGGTTTAAATGTAGGATTTAAGGAAGAAAGAAAAGGAACTCCAGGCTAAGGAAGCTGAACTGAGAAGGCGGGAACAAGTATATTATACAATACATTTTACAACTTTGAATTCATTTCCAAAGGCATATCATCAACATATAAAGAATCTTATGTAATGAAAGCACAAATATATCTCAATAATCCCAGTTATTTGGAAGGTTTTAAGCTGCAAATTCTCATTCTTGCAAGTTTATTTCACAAATAAATGGAATGAAGTTACTGCTCGTTGGTAGCTCATATATCATAGCATCCCTTCAATTTTCACTGATCAGCTTACTCCATGCAGGAAGTGAGGCGGAAAGAAGAGGCAGTGGCAAGAGGTACCTTTCATTTTCCTTTATTTAACTTGTCATACATATCATATTTGGTTTTGTTCTCATCTTCAGCATTTGTCTAGATTACTCTATTCTTTTTGCAGAATATTTGGCCTTAGTTCCTTTTACGGTCAACACAACATTTCTATCATGAACTACTGTTTGACTTCTCTTCTTTGCAGCTGGAATTGTTGTGGAAGAGAAAAATTGGCCACCATTTTTCGCTATCATTCATCATGATATTGCCAATGAAATTCCAATTCATCTACAAAGACTGCAGTATGTTGCATTTTCGACATTTTAGGTATGTAAGATGTTTTTATGTTTTCACAGTACTTCTAGGTGTCGTGCCTAGATTGCATTTGGTAACTATTTGTGCCATGTTTTTATACTGTTTGGATCTTATCTAGATTGCATTGGGTAATTATTTGTACCATGCTTTTATTTTGTTAACTCTTCAGTTGAAAGTGGCTTTGATGTAAAGCCAAGGGCTGGCAGGCATTTGGGTGATTGATGGTGATTCTATGCAGGATTGGTTCTATGCCTTCTATGGAACATCATAGCTGTTACTACTGCGTGGATCAAAGGGGAAAGTTAGTTTAGATATATACTTCCATATGTCTTGCTTTTCTTCTTAACATAATTGTGATCATGTTTTGCTTTCCTTATTAATTTTTAGGTGTTGATCTGGTTATTGTCGATCATCTACTTCGTAGCAGGAGTACCAGGAGCCTATGTATTGTGGTATCGCCCACTGTATCGTGCTTTTAGGTACTTAATATATTATATGCTTTTTCTTAATATAGAGTTCATGTTTTGCTTCTTCTTTTTCTATGTTGGCTTGTTCCAATGCTAACTTCTATTGCTGGTTTCTTAAATCCCGCTTTTTACAGTCCTTACACTTGCTTATCAGCCCTTTAATTTGATTTCTTTTTTCTCACCTTATGACTATCATGCAGGAATGAGAGTGCTTTGAGGTTTGGATGGTTCTTCATGTTTTATTTGGTAATAACTCATGTTTCTCCTGATAGATCTTTTATTCTGGGAATTAGATACTGATCCTTTTGTTCCATCTTTCCTGTTTATAGCTTCACATTGCCTTTTGCATATTTGCTGCGGTGGCACCCCCTGTAGTTTTTAGAGGGAAATCACTCACGTAAGATCCCTAACTATTTTAGCATATCTTTAGAAGTCTATATTTGGGTTTTACTGATGGGACTTGCCTCTTTTTTTCTGTTTTTATAACATATCATTTTCTTTTTGTGGGATTCTTTATTTCATATATGAGATAATGGATTGCCCCTTATGTCGGTGGAATGTAAACGTAACGCAAATATTTGACATGCAAAAATAGTATTCTAGTTCAATTTTTTCCATCTATATCTTACAATCTTACTAATGGTCATTTTGTTTTTGGCCTCATACAGTGGAATCCTACCCGCAGTTGATCTTATTAGCCATGCTTTGGTCGGGGTAAGTATATGCTTAAACCTGAGAAAAAAATACCCACAATCAAGTTAGTCCATTCAAACAGTTGAGCATTTTCTTAACCTATGTTTAACGTGTAGCATGGATTTATTACATGCTGATAATTGAGTGGGACATAGATGGGAACATAGGAATGTTGCTTATACTTCTGAAGGCTTGAGAACATTGTGATTGCCAGTCGAAGTCCCATTTTAATAAAATTTCTTTTTGTTTGTGTAGATCTTCTACTTCATTGGTTTCGGATTATTCTGTCTCGAATCAGTTGTTAGCATCTGGGTTATCCAGGTTTGTTCTGTTCCCAACATGATTCAATGCAATGCCCTTACCCACATGGTGTTTGGTATTTCTAACTTTGTTGGCTGTTGACCTTATAGCAAGTATGCATGTATTTCCGTGGGAGTGGTAAAGCTGCCGAGCTGAAACGTGAAGCTGCAAGAGGTGCTATGAGGGTTGCTATCTAACGACATCCACAGGCTTGGCTGCATTGAGCTATCAGTAACCTCACAAGTTGCTTCTGGTTATATGCACGTTTTGCCAATGAAGGAGAGAATTGAGCTTGTTATATATCTATCCTTGCTTTTGTTTTCGATACTATTTTCTGTAAAGTTTTTTTAATTAAGTGTGGAGTAGGAATAGCAGACTCCTTGTATAATCTTTTTTATGTATGAACTGATAAAATACAGTGATACATTTTGGGTAAAGTCGATTACAATTATGTACTATACCTAAAAACTCATTTTAGTGTCTTATATAAAAAGATTCTTTTTAATTCCTATATGTTTGAAAAGGTTAACATTTTAATATAAAATGCTAGAGTTATTGTTAGTTGATGTTTGGGCTCCGCTAATATGCAAGAACGAAAGGTAGACATGGAGGAGAACCTGATGATGTGAGTTTGGGGCAGGTTGGAAAATTTTAGAGGCCATTGTCTACTTACCATCAAAATGAAAAGTGAAGTGGATTCATAGGAATTCATGTCTTAGCACGTCAATACTGGGTAGCAGGATGTTTCACTCAGGACCAAGAATATTATTGCAGCCATGAATAACATGAAATTAAGCTTTAAGATTCAGATAAAGTCAAGAATGATTTTATTCTCTCTTTATTGTCACTTGTGAATCAACCCGAGTCTTCTACTCGTGCTAAATAGCTCTTTGAATAAAGAATGTTTCTTTTCTACGACATTGAATCGAATAGGATTAAGAGAGCGATAAAAGGAAAATTGAGAAGGAAAGAAAAAACTGGTACCTATATATTTTCCATGACTCTCCTAACAGGTAGCGGTGCATGTCTTACAATCCATGCTGCAGCCACCGGCACCCGCACTGGCAGAGAAACCTGACCCTGACTTGTTAACTGAGCCGTAGCACTTAGCAGGACAGGTAAGCTCCTTCTTATAACAAGGGCCTGGCTCATCGCAAACAATCGAATTAACATTGTAATCTGGGTCCCCTCCGATGGGACCTCCGGAAAAAGATCCAAAGTCATCTCCGGTAGGACCTCCGAACCAATTTACATCATCATCACCGGCAATGTCATCATCCGACTCCTTTTCTGCCTTTGTCATATCCTTGTCTACAACATCACTGCCAAACTTAGTTCCTGGATCAATGAAAGCGTCAGCTGCATCGTTACTATCCCCGGATGATACGGCTGCAGCGAATGCGTCAGGCCTAGCTACTGCAGATAGTGAAGCTGTAGTTAATAGAACAGCCAAGCATATGGTGCTTTTGAGTTTCATCTTTCAGTTTTTCTTATTTCTCTTTTTGAGGGGGTTAATTTCACTTTGAGGTGTCGTTAGGGTGTTATTCTGAAGGACTTTTCTTTTTACTATTTTAATGGTTAAGTGGTGGGATGAAGGATGATTTATGAAGGGAAAAGAGAGAATCGGTTGGAGATGAGTGGAGGGTCTTCCATGAATTCAGTGACGAACATGGCTCATCTTAAAATAAGTTACAAAACAAATTGATGGTTTCATAATGGTCTTGGAATCAAGGATTTAGCCATGCGATTAGAACAATTTGGGACAATGTTAGTCTGAACCTAAAATAGAGGAAGTGACGCTGATGGAATGAAAAAGGGTTACCAGTGATTGAAAAAGGGTTACCAGTGATTGAAAAATAGCCTTTTGCATGATTGAAAAAGGGTGGTGTATTTTGTAATCTCTTAATACAAGGTATCCTTTTTCAAAAAAAAAAACATTAACAACACTAATAACAAAAGAATATGAATACGATAAATATATATATATTTTAAGGGTAAATTACATAGCTTGTCATTTTTCTTTCATTTTTATAAACGTATGGTTACTCGATCCAAAAATGTTAATTCGTTGTTAATTATGTTTCATTTTAATTAAGACGTGGTCACTTAACATAAATTGCCGTTAAACATTTAATGATTTTCTAACGTGGCACATTAGTAAAATTGTTTAATTTTTACTTAACCCCTAAATTTTAGATAAAATACTAATTAGATATCAATTTATAAATTCAAAGTAATTTAGAGATAAAGTTCTAATTTACCATTTTTTAACATACTTTTTTTCTTCCCTAGCTTCCCCACCTGTGCCATCGCACACCCCTTTCTTGCTTTTCCACCACCCTTCCTTTCCCTTCCCTCCCAATTCCCTTAGCAGAACAACCCAGCAATACCATTCGTTCTGCTTCAAGCCACCAAATCACGGTAGAGCCTCCAAAATCTCACCCCTAAGCGTACTTCAACCAAAGAAGGTTTTCTGTAACACCTCCAACCCGATCCGAGTCCGAGGTATCACATAAACTTTTAAACCTTTACTTGTTCAAAATAATGAAAAATCCCTGTTAAAGAAAACTTCATATTATTTCAAAATAAAAGTTTTCACACTTATCAGAGCATATACAATTCAAATCGTTTATATGACATGCCAACTGCATCTAAAAGAATAAAATACTTATCAAACATTTGTTTTCTGATCTTAACTTTGTAAGAAAGATGTTGACCTGTCTTACTCCTCTCAGCTTCTATATTCACTTTCTGTAACCTACGTGTGAAACACTCACACGCTAAGTCGATGACTTAGTGAGGCATAAAAAAAACACATCAAATGGAATTCATATCCACTAATCATGCATGATTGTTTTATGCTATCAAATCATACAATTCATATACTTTTTCCATATAACAATTACATACTTGTTCACATACATGTAATCATTTATATTTTTATCATACTATTATACTTCATATCTCTTATTTCTTTTCATATGATCTCTTACGTTCATATTCTATATCTTATAATAAATTCTTATATTATCAACTAAGTCATTTATACTCATTCACATATACATCAACATATATTCATGTATATCATGTAACAGATGCAATCACCCATATATCATGTCACACAATTCATATCACACATCATATACATATATTACATACATTGTTTTCACAATTATCTCTTTATTAGCCCATGTACACATGTGAGAACTATAGATATATGAGTCTATAGAGGTTGTGCACTAATGTTGTCACCACAGCTCGTATAAATGCACTGAAGTGCCACGTAGAATTGCACCGTAGTGCCGCGTAAAATTGCACCGAAGTGCTATATAAGGTTGTCCCTAAGGACCACGTAGAAAATTCCTTAAGAATCATATACATATGCCAAGGATCAAGTATGTGTCTCAAAAGACCTCACACATGTTCCAAAGAATACATAAATGTCCCGAAGGACCGCGTAGACCCTCGACTCTTGGCATGCCAACTATACCTCTAGCTCTCATGTCACATAACATGGGCATTAATATTTATGTTAGCATACATTCACATATACAAATAGTCACATAGTTCTTTCACATAGCTCATTGTCATATAAATCACATATACATATAAACATATGGTTCACTTATGCGTAGAACATTTTCATATGATTCACATATCCCAGAACTTATCACGTATAATTATATTCTTTTTCATATAATCACATAGTCATATAATATTTCATATGACATATATTTTCTCTTTCATATATCTCATATCATGTATCATATCTTGTGATCATGTAATCATGTTACTTATAATCACATAAATTCTACTCATAGGGTTCAACATCATTAAACTTAGTTCCCTTTCCATATTATCATACATTTATATAATCTTATATGTTCTATCATTAACCTATAAACTTACTCATATACTCATATATATTCTTTAATATAATTTGTATAGTAATGCTCTACAATTTTATCATATACTGAGTTTACCTAAGTCTTCCTTTATAAAGTTTATACTACAAGTTCAAATAGTCTCATTCTATCCTATACATCATTTCTACTTATCTTATCTCACTTCCCCTTTCACTCACATAAATCATTTATATACTTGTTTTATCTATTTATTTAGTGCAATTTCCATGACTTCTATAATACTCTTTCATAAAGTGTTGTAATTCTTCACTTTATAACTCATAACCCGTAGTTTCCTTTAAGTATATAAATCTTCCCTATATAACTTATGTATCATTACTTATGTTTATGCCCTCCAATTTATACTATCTTCATAGAGTCTCTTAACCTTTCTCGTGTAATCACTTATACCATATAATATGACTTATACTTAGTTATTTTATGTTCATATATATATATATATATATATATATATATATAATATCAATGATTCATTAACATATAACTTATGTCACATGTTCATTTCATTCTTTATGTCTTTATCATATAACTTATTTCATGTTCTTCCATTATTACATAATAATGTTTTACACAAATTATATAGCATATACAAAGCATATCAATATTTTTAGTCATGCATACATACAATTAATGTAATACATATAACCACATATAACACATATAATTATAACAAACACACAATCATGTTCATGACTTCATGCATATTACTCTAGGAAATAAGACTTGGAAATAGACTCATCGCAAGTCTTATTTCCATTAAACACTACATGTCACTAGCATGCACTCACCTGACCTCACTAGTCAATACCAATCTCATATCTTTCCCTTGGATCGATCTTACCGAGTAATTGTTCTGGAACTTGTTTAAGCTCTGAATCTACATAGTAATATATTGATACATATCAGTATACTAATTAATATATTTTAAACTATCGATTCTTAAGCTAAAAGAAAGCTATTTTAATCTTTTAATAAAGGTATGCATGATGCACTCTACAGTGTATCGATGCATTCCTTAATGTGTGCATCGATGAACTACCTGTGCATCAGTATACCAATCACCTTCGATGTTTTATTCTTAAGGGGATGCATCGATGCACTAATTGCATTCAATGTTCATTCATTTGAGAGTGCATCAGTACACAATGAATGTGCATCGATGCACACAACCCAGAAATTCCAGTTAGAGCACGAAATTCACTTTCGTTTTAGCTCAACTCTTCATATTTCATCCCCTTTTATATTCTTAACTCACATACACATATTCAAACTCATTTATATTCATTCATCACCTCTTTAACATCAAAATATTATTCTCCATATGTAATTCAAGAAGTACACTAAATTTTCAACATGTTCCAAATTCAATTCTAGTGTTTTTAACTTCTTAATTAGACCATTGGCAAGTCAAATTTGGTCTGGAAATGCCATAAATGTCTTTCTACCAAGATTTCATTTATTCACTTACTTCCTTTAATCCTTTATAAACCTTTCCTCTTATTGTTTTATGACAAATTAAACTTCCCTTAAGCTTAAGAGTCACTTGATAATCAAAACCAAACTTAAAATTCAACAAGAAATCAATTAACCAGAAACTCACATTTGCTCTTGGTTTCCACGTGAAGAAGAGAAAAAAAAGAAGAAGAGAACTCTGGAGAAATCTCTCTATTTCCACGTGGTTCCTTTATCTTATAAAGGAAAATAAAAATCTTACTTGTCAATTGACCATTTTACCCTTTAATTCATTCAATAATTACCAAACAACCTTCAACTATATTTCCAATAAGTCATTGAACTATTTAACTATTCTACTTTTATCACCAAATTTCCAAAATTCTCATTTTAGTCACTGACCCGGATTTCGGGATGTTACATTTTCACCAACAAAGAACATACAGAAGCTACAAATGATTTCAAGGAATAGCTCGGAAGAGTGACATTTGGCATTGTTTACAAAGGAACAATAGGGACGAGTAGCGTGGCGGTGAAGAAATTAGATGTAGTGGTTCGAGAAGGAGACAGAGAAAGAATTCAAAACTGAGATCAATGTGATCGGGCAAACACATTATAAGAACCTGGTTAAGTTACTAGGAGTTTGCGAAGAGGGAAAGAAACGTTTGCTGGTGTACGAGTTCTTAAGCAATGACACTTTAGCCGATTACCTGTTTCAAAACACGAAGCCGAGTTGGAATCAAAGGACCCAAATTGCCATAGTAATTGCTTTATCCCTAAATGAGTTGTAGAGTAGAAGGAGATGTGCGGAGCATAGCTGGGGCACCGATCCAAAAGAAGTTTGTCCCTAAATTATTTTAAATTTATAAAATGGTTCCTACTTAAGATTTTATCTAAAGTTTAAGAGTTAAAGTAATAAATTAAACTCTTTTTACTAACGTGTCATATCATCAAACAAATGAAAATCAATATTGCAATGATCACATCTCAATTAAAAAAACTAATCACGTATTATTTTTTTAATCAAGTGATTATACATTATTTTAGATGACCAATTATTTTAGAGACCGGTACCTTTAAATGAAATGTCATGTTTATA